TTTTTTTTTTTTTTTTTTTGTTCTCACTTTTTTTTTTTGAGATTTTAACAAGTAACAAATATGTTGTTAAAAATCTTAATGCTACTGTCGTTAACTAGGTTCTTGAATTTGGTATTTCTAGATTCTTGGACGCGGGTTAGCTTCAACGGTTCGGAAGTGTGTAGAAAAGGGTACTGGTCAAGTATTTGCTGTAAAAATTGTTGATGTAAGTACAGAAAGGCAATCGCAAAATGAAGCGGAAAGACTTCTCAATGAAACGATTAGTGAAGTCAATTTATTGAGGCAGCTTGCTGATCATCCATCGATAAGTAATCTGTTTTCTTACTCATAAAATAATTTATTTTGATTTTTCCTTTAGATTGAGCGTGGCTTATTGCTTTAGTCCTTTAAAAGTAAATATTTTTTTGTGATATTGTTTGATTTTCATTTTTTTAAAATTATTTTTACAAAGCTTTTAACATTGTGAAGCAGGGTTAGTTTTATTCGTTTCAAATACTGCTTTAGCCTTTATCGAGGGTGCTGAATTTTGTTACCAGTGGAATTTTTCACTTTTTTATGATGCTTCCTTCGAGCTGTAACTTTTTACTTTTTAATATTTCATAATAATGTTCAGGACTACTCCACTTTCCTTACCTTATTGTATTTTTCTTTTAAAAGGTTGAGCGTAGAGATATACTGGCGTCGCTTTTATGATAGTATTTCACAGTCGTATGAAGATAGCTAAATTACTGTTTTTTCTTCTTGTACTGGTTGGTCAGACGAACGACTTGTTTTCCTATTAATTATTTTCCTCTCAAAAGTCTCGCTTTTTTTTCTGTTTTTACAATTATTGTTTCACCAAATTACTTTTCCTGTTAGGAAGTCATAAGTTGTACTGTTGAATTTTAGTTAGGTTATCTGAGGAAACAGATAGTTTAGTTAATCTTTCATGTATCTGTATTTTAAAGTATGACAACAGTAGCATTAAATGGCTGTGCTTTAAGGGCAGCCACTTAAGCGGCATGAGAAAGTAAAATTCGTTTGTTGTAAAATATGGAAGGCTTTTTCTTCTTATTCTGATGCGCGTTTTGTTCCACGTTTGTTTTCCTACCTTACTCTGTTAATCATTTATCAGATTTAGATTTCATTATTTTATACTTTTAATATGTTTGTGCATCCCTACAGTTCTCTTTACCAGGCAGTTACAACTTCTTCGTTAAGAATCTTGTATTTGGATTTTAGTTGTCCTCTGTTTCAAAGTGTATTAGGTGTTTTTTGTTTTTGTTGGGGCTGTTTAGTTTCTTTTATTTTTTTCTTCACGAGAGTTACTGATTTTTTAGAAAAATTTGCCTTAAATAGCTTCTTCTTTTCTCCAGTTTTATACATCAGATTTCGTTACTGGAAGTTCCGCTTTTAACTTCAAAAAAAGTTATTACGTTACTCGAATGAACTTTGTTGAGAAACTGAGGCAACACCAAGAGCCACTGATTGGTGCTGTAGGATAGTCCTGAATACAGGCAGAAAATAATGATACTGGCAGTGAGGGGCGAATGTACAACTGGCATTATTTCGTTACATGTAAATAGTTTTTTGCCCATCACTTTAAGGCTTAATTTCAAAAACAAAAAGTATTATAAGGTTAGCAATAAATAGCATTTTACGACTAATAAAAGTGGTTTATAGGTAAATAAAAGAAACTGAGAACAGCTGATTACTGATTTGATTTGAAAAAGTTTGTCATAATGGGAATTAATTGGTTTTTTGTATGTTTTGATTGAAAATTAAATTTTATCTTTTCTTTTTGTTAGCTGAGTTGATTTTTTCCTTAAGCTTTGGTTGTTGAGCTCTTGGAAGATTTCGTACTATATATGTTTTGTTTTTTTGACAGCTGTTGTGTTTTCGGTTTTCCTTTCAAATTGCAACTAGCCTCTGCATGTACTGGGCTAATCATTTTTAGAATTTGACTAATTGCTACTGCTACTTTTGAATGTGAAGAATGACGCTGACGGAGAAACCCCTTGTAATGTTTTTCAATTCAAATTTTTGGTTTTCTAAGTCTTAACGACTTTTTACAAATATGTTCAGTGAATTTTTGGGACTTTTTTGGATTAAGAGTAGTTGTTTTTGTGGTCGAGTGTTGCTTCTGCTAGTGTAGGCTAGTGACTTTTGGTATAGTGCTTTCACTATCGTTTTAAATATATTAACACATTAATAGATACATTTTTTTAATGGAATCTGTAGGTTTTTTAAAAAATATCAACGTAACGCTTGGAATGTTAAAATTTTAGGTTGTTGGAGTTCTTCTTCATTACTGTTTGTTGATTTTTATTATAATTTTAGGATCAACTTTTAAGTAATAATGGAAATTATTAGAAGTCATTTTTTTAGTAGGAGTGAGGTAGTTCAGTACTGTTGAAGCAGTTAGCACCGTTTGTTAGTCAAGTTCATGAGTGCTTTTTTTAAAATGATATAGAGTATAGTGTTGTGTTTTGAGTACAGCCATCTTTCTGCCCTTTTGAAGTTCAGAAGCTTTATTTTGGTATACACTGTACGTTCAAATATGTGGGTGTTTTTTTAAAAATTAGACGAAACATTTTCTTCTTCTTGCCTATCTTGGTTTTTAAGTTGTACTAGTTTACTCAAATTAAATTAAAGGACAGTTTTAAAACCATTTTATCAATATTTTTTTGGAATTTTGGAGGAAGAAACTTTTAAAAAGCTGTGTTTTTGATCAGTAATTTTTGGTAGTTGAGTGTTATTGATAGTCTTCGAACAATTTGGTTTTTATTGCAATTGTTTATTACTAGTTTTATTTTACTTTTTTCTTTTTATCTATTTCTCATCATTTCAGTCAGTATTCATGACTTCTATCAGGCTCCTACGTTTTTGTTCGCTGTTTTCGAGATGTAAGTTTTGCATTTAAAAGGTTTTTGTAAGCCTTAGTTTTGTATTAACTTCTAAATCTTCTCTTTTTGATTTTTTAGATCATGGAACCTGAAAACTGGTTGTTCTGATGGAATTTTAGTTTATAGGTTTTACTGGATGTAATTTCTTTATTTTAACTGTAGTGCTTTGAATTTTAGGGCTCCGAGAGGAGAACTGTTTGAACTGCTGAATAAATCTGTTACCGTTAGTGAAAAAAAAGCGCGGAGACTAATGAGGCAGCTGTTTGACGGTGTGGCTTTTATGCACGAAAAATTAATTGTTCATAGGGATCTTAAGGTTATTTTTCTAGTTTTTATCACAGTTCTATAAGGATTATTTTGGAAGAGAACCAACAGTTCTTTATTGACTGCTGTCAGGTCTCCCTTCGTTTTTTTTTCTTTATTGAAAAATATTGGTTTCAGCTTGAAAATATTCTTTGTATCGATGAGGAGAGGATCATAATTAGTGATTTTGGTTTTGCAACTCAGTTAAAACCAGGACAGCGATTGACAGGTGCTTTTTTGAGTTTCATCAGTGGGATTTTTTTACCGATTACATAACTTCTGGCGGGTTGTCAAGGTTTAATCAATTTTGATCAATTTAAAAAAAAAAAAATTATAACTTTTTTCCTTTTCAAATTCAGTTTTAAAATTGGAAATTTTTTTGGGTAGTTTTTTGAATTTTTGGAGTTTTTTGCTTGATTTTCTCACGAGTTTGGAAAGAAAGCTAGGAAAAATTAGAATTCAAAAATTTTTATTTTATTTTCTTGCTTTTATTCTTTCTCTTTTCAAAATTAGTTTTCGATGTAGGCTTATTTCTGGTTTGATGAGACTAAAGGTACTGTGCTGAAATTGGATATATAGAAGATATATAGAATTTTGTTTTTAAGAGCTACTTGGGACACCCGGATATTTGGCTCCTGAAATATTAAGGTGCCAGATGTATGAGGACACAGATGGTTACGGCCTTGAAGTAGATGACTGGGCACTTGGCGTTATCCTCTACACATTGTAATTATTTCCTGCGTTTGCTCTTCAAAACGTTTGAAATGCGGTAATGTATTGTATCTTTGAAGTTTCAATAACTTTTTATTGGTTTTTAGACTTGCTGGTTATGCACCATTCTATAATCGACGCCAATTAATAATGCTAAGAATGATCCAGGAAGCAAAATATGATTTACACAGCGAGCAGTGGAGCCACATTACTGACGAAGCCAAAGACCTTGTACGTTGTCAGTCAAAGATTT